TATGAAAACCAGTTGAGTGACTTGGGCTAATCATAGGAGGCAGTGAGTTCTAGTCCTGCCTTGGGCATAAAAGCCAGCTGGGTGACTTTGGGCCAATCACTAGAAGATGTTGAGTTGTAGACCCATTTAAAAGCTGAGTGAGTGACTTTGGGCCAATCACCAGGAGACAGTGAGTTCTAGTCCCACCTTAGGCATAAAAAGACTCTCGACCAATCACAAGGAGACGGTGCGTTCTAATCCCGCCTTAACTCTGTAAATGCAGCTGAGTGACTTTGGGCCAATCCCCAGAACGGGAGCTCTAGGAACGAAAGCCAGCCGGGTGACTTTGGGCCAGTCCCTCCCACTCTATCACCCCAACCCACCTCACAGGGTTGTTGTTGCAGGGAGAACAAGAGGAAGGAAGAGGATTCGACAGGTTTGCCACCTGGGGCCGTCTATAAATGTGACGCAAGTGGGAATACAGACGGACAAACGAATTAACTACGCACGCTCACGGAACTGCTGGAGGAGTACAGGCGTGGCCGCTTGGCTTTCCGGTGGGGGCTGGACGGGACTTCAGCTCCTGGGCCGCAGGCTTCCCCGTGGCCCATGCTGCGGGTCACAGGCCGGCTCCGGGGGGTGGGGCTGGCTGCTTCGGCCTCCGGGTGCTCGCTGAAGCTGTCCCCGCCCCTCGCGCGGCTGATCACTGGCGACGGACTCTTCTCGTGCTGCAGGAAGGAAGGAGACGGACGGAGTTCTGACCCACAGAACCTTAGCAGAACCGAGAAACAGGCTCCTTGCCGTCCCCAAAAATCCCCATCTATGGCATTCACACACAGAAAAGTCCCAACAATCATCCTCCCTGAGGACACAGATAAACCTCCAGGTGGCCTCAACGACCCTCTAAAAGGATGCAAATGACCAGCTGTCTGCAAGGAGTATCAATCCTCCCATTGAACATCATCCAGTCAGAAGGCTCCACACCCATTTGCACCACTCAGGTGTGACCCTGAGGACACAGAGAAACCTCCAAGTGGCCTCAACGACTCTCTAAAAAGGATGCAAATGACCAGCTGTCTGCAACGAGTATCAATCCTGTCCTCCACCATCCAGTCGGAGCTGAAGAACCTTCTTGGAGGAGAAGTGAAAGGTCTTCAAACGAAAAACCAGAAAGTCCAGTTGCCTCCTGAAAAAGCACCTTTGGGACAACCCTGACTGGAAGGGCGGAGAATCTCTACAGACTTTTAGCTATGCCATTTGGGATGGACACCCTTGGAATGGGGTGGGAGCAGGAATGGATTTCCGGGGGGGGGGGGGACACTGAAGACCACAGGAACCATTTGCACCAGTCAGGTAACCCTGAGGACACAGATAAACCCCCAAGTGGCCTCAACGACCCTCTAAAAGGATGCAAATGACCAGCTGTCTGCAAGGAGTATCAATCCTTCCATTCCCAACCATTAAGTCAGAAGGCTCCACACCCATTTGCACCACTCAGGTGACTCTGGGGACACAGATAAACCTCCAAGTGGCCTCAACGACCCTCTGAAAGGATGCAAATGACCAGCTGTCCGCAAGGAGGATCAATCCTCCCATTCAACATCATTCAGTCAGAAGGTTCCACATTCATTTGCACCACTCAGGTGTGACTCTGAGGACACAGAGAAACCCCCAGGTGGCCTTAACGACCCTCTAAAAGGGTGCAAATGACCAGCTATCTGCAAGGAGTATCAATCCTTCCCTTCCCCACCATCCAGTCAGAAGGCTCCACACCCATTTGCACCACTCAGGTGACCCTGAGGACACAGGTAAACCTCCAGGTGGCCTCAACGACCCTCTGAAAAGGATTCAAATGACCAGCTTTGTCTGAAACGAGGAACAATCCTGTCCTCCACCATCCAGTTGGAGCTAGAAGAAGCTTCTTAGAGGAGAAATGAAATGCCTTCAAAGAAAAACCAGAAGGTCTAGTTGCTTCTTAAAACAAAAAAACCAACCCCTTTAGGACAACCAAGACTTGAAGGACGTGGTATCTCTACAGACATCAAGACTAGAAGCACAGGCCTTGCCCTCAGGAGCCTCCCTCGGAAGCTGCGCCTCCAGCTTCAAGCGTTACCTGCTCCGAGCCCAGAGGGACACCCGTGTCCTGGCTCCGGGTGATCATCCGTCGTGGGGAGGAGGTGGGCCCCAGAGGGGGTTTCTCGGCCACAGGGCCAACGTTGGGGAGGTTCTCCAGCTCGGTCTCGGTGGACTCCATCTGGTGAAAACTCCACAGCCCCACTTTCCTTATGCAACGGCAACAGCTGATCAAGGGCAGACGGACAGAGCCAGAGGGAGCACTAGGAAAAAGACATACACACACACAGAGAGACACAGACAAAAATTAAACCTGAGGATCCAAAGCCAGTCTGCTTCACACAAAGCACAATTTAAATACCACACAGCGTATTTTTCAGAGTATGAGACGCTCTGAAGGATACGACGCACCTCTCTGAAGCCGCTTTCAGCTTCAGCACAGCCGGATTGAGCACAAGCAGCTGATGGTCGGGTTGGATCAGCCTCCCGACGATCAGCTATTCCAAGCTGCAGGGATTTGCCATCGCCTGTTGCCAACTCTGCACGCCCCGTTTTTGGGGGCCTCTGCGGGAACAATGTTCGGCTCGTCCTGGGCGGCGGAGATTGGAACGAGCGGAAAACGGGGCGCGCGGAGTCCCAACGTGGGGCACGCGGAGGCGGCAACAGCCAATCCCTGAAGCCTGAAACAGCTCAGCTGCTTGTGCTGAATCAGACTGTGCTGAAGACACCCATACATTTTCACAAAAAGTGAGTCTTATACTCCCCAAAATATGGTACATGGAGATGCTACTCGACTTACAACTTGTTGTAGTCCACCGACAGCCCGCAGAGACAGCAGCAGAGTCGGACAGTGGGGAGGAACACGGGCTAGAGTCCTGGAGTCTGGGGTGGACTCGAACGAGGGTCCTGCGTCTGACGCAGAGATGGGGCCAGGGCCATCTGGCAGTTATGTGCTGACTCTGGAGACTCCAGAATCTGACAGCAGCGAGGAGGAGAGCAGGGGGAGCCTGTTCCCAGTGTGCGTATGCGCAGAGCTGCCAGAAGGCAAGAACAGCTAAGACAAAAGGGGCGACTGGGGAGTAAGGCTTGGAGGTGATTGGTCCTCCCATAAGATAGAAAAAAAGTGCAAAGGGACAGGAGCCTTTGCAGGAAGCAACGTTGTTTGCTCTGGTCGGTTTGGAACTTGAAATCTCCGTGGTGAATTTATGCTCTGTTTGGTTTTGAAAGACTAATTGGGACTTTAGTCGTTGGCAGCACTCCATGAAAGATAAAGGTGCGTGCTTATCAGACTTCTCCCGAAGGACTTTGGCAGACTTCTATGGGACTGTTTATAACTGGTTGAGACTCATTATGGGCTGTGAATGACGATCATTCATAGCCGTCGAACTAAAATAAAAAGGTTTTGGATTTAACGTGTGTTGTTTGGTGTTTCAGGAAGTCTTGCTTAGAGCCCAACAGGTTCGGTGGCTATGCCAGACACGCTGTTCAGGGAGCGTTGGCTCATTTGACCACTTTTCTTGCCGCCGTCATTAAGTGAATCACTTGCAGTGGTGAAGTTAGAAACCCATCGTTAAACTAATTTGGTTTCCCCATGGACTTGCCTCGTCGGAAGGTCGCAAACAGGGATCGCGGGACACTGCAACCGTCGGAAGTACATGCCAGTTGCCAAGCTTCTGAATTTTTGGTCACGTGACTGTGGGAATGCTGCAATGGTCGCTAAGTGTGAAAAAAGGGCCCTGTGACTTTTTTTCCGCTGCCGTTGCAACTTCAAACGGTCATTAAAGGAACGGTCTGTAAGTTATCTGTGTTATGTGCATTTTTCACACACTGGTACCCCTTGAGTTACATACACCATGACTGAGCCTGGAATTTTTTCAGTCGTTAAATTGGAATGATCCTTACATGGGTTCATCAGGTGACTTCACCATGGTCATTAAGTGAAGATGGCGGCTGTAATGCAAATCTGGCCGTTGTTAAAGAGAATCCTGGTAGGAATGTGTGCTGTCGCCAAGGTGGGAGGGCGAGTTATTATTTTATTATTTTTATTCTTCACTTTTTTCCTTTATATCAGTGGGCGCCAACCAGTGGGCCGGGGACGACTGGTGGTCTGAGAGAAAATTTTGGTGGTCCTCAGAGAAATGTCCCCAGCACCCAAAGCAATTAATCGAGGCTGCGCGGGAACACAAGGCTGCACCGCCCACATGGCCCATGGGAACACAAGGCTTGCGTCGCTTGCATTGCGAACAACACGAGGTAGTGAGGGGAGGGGGGAAAGGGCGGGGGGGGGAACTTGCCCCACTCGCCCCACGCGCCTGGCCTGGCCACCGGGCTGCCTTTTTCCTGCTTCTTTCTTCTTCTGCTTTTGGCTGCACGCAAGGAAAGCAGCCAACGTCTTTCTTTCTCTCCCCCAAACTCCGCCAGAAATGAGTCTTTGGGACCCTGCAAGGCCTCCTGCTCCAAGAGGCTGCAAAGACTCATTTCTGGCGGAGTTTGGGGGGGAGAGAAAGAAAGACTTCTGCGGCTTCTGCTGCTTTCCTTGCATGAAGCCAAAAGTCTCTCTCTCTCCCCCTGAGAATGGAGCTGGAGACGGTATCCTGCGATCCCAAATAAAGAACGATCGATCGGTACAAAAACAGGGTGGGGAATTTTCCTGCAGACTTTTGGGGGGATTTTCCCAGGGTCTCCGGTCCGTGGGATTTAAAATGATGAGTTGGGTGGTCTCTGAGGTCCAAAAGGTTGGCGACCCTTGCTTTATATTGTGCTTTTTATCTCCTTGAGTTCCCACGTGCGAGCAGGCGGCAATGTAAAAATTTCTAAGTAATGAATAAGTCATCAAATCAATCCATTTTCCGCAGGGGTGGTGGTGCAAAACTCCACCCTGGTGACTGGAAGAGCATCCGGCCATTAAAACACTTGGCTAGCTCCAGTCAGTGGGCCCAGACTCCACCCTGCAAAAAATTATGGGGTCCTTCAAATAAGATAATGATGAATCCATTTTCTGTGGGGTGTGTGTGTGTGTGTGTGTGTGTGTGTGTTTGCCAGAGACTAAAAATAAAGGATAGTTTGGGGCACAAATAAAAAATGAAAATAAGACACACACAGACACACACACACCGATTTGATCTTCCACTTACCTACTGGTCCAGCCGCAAAGGGCTAGAATGGAAGCTGTGATGTGGACTTGAAGAAGGTCCGAAGGCGGCTTGGCCGATGTCTTCTCGCCTTCGGTTCTGCAGTGCTCCTCCTCTTCCTTCTCCTTCTCCTCGATCCATTGCAAGAGAAAGCTGACCTTGTCTTCAGTCAAGGACTGAGAAGCAAACAGACGAAAATCAAATCTCTCCACCTCTCCCGAAATGGCGATCGGCCACTTTCGGGTGGGCGAACACGATTTCCAGAAGTTTCCAAGCTAACAGAGATGCCCAACCTGCTGTTTGGGTTTTTTGTTTTTTGCTTTCTCTCTTTTAACGACCACGTCATCCCTCGCCTTGGAATGGAGTAGAGCTAGCAGAGTGTTTTTACTGGCCGGATACCTTTCCTGTCGCCAATGTGGAGTTTTGCTCGGCAGATATATATCCTCATCGTGCTCAGAGAGAGAGAGAAATATCTGCCTCCAACCTAGGATCGAACTCACAGCCTCCTAATTGTGAGGCGAGAGCTCCACCTCTAGGCCGCTGCACCCACACATGCCCAACTAGCTGTTCCGGAAAGGAAACATTCTGGAGACATCTAGAATGTTCTGTCAGTCTTTGAATCATGCTAATCGGACGTTCCAAAGAGAGTTTGGGACATACAGGTAGTCCTCAGCTTACAATAGTTTGGTTAGTGACCCTTTCAGTCAAAAATGTGACTTCTGAATGTTTTTCATAGTTACGACCTTGGAAGTCTCCTCAGGATTGTGGGATCAAAATTCAGAGGCCAGGCAACTGGTTCACAGTTACGACGGTGGCAGCGTCCCCGGCGTCATGTTTCCCCATTTTGTGACCTTCTGAGGAGCCAAATCAAGGGGGAAGCCGGATTCACTTAACAACCAGGCCACTAAGTTACCAGCTGCGGTGATTCGCTTAACAAACGGGGGCAAGAAAGGCTGTAAAAATGGGGCAAAACTCGCTTAAACAAATGTTTCACTGAACGACAGAAATGGTGGGCTCCCTTGTGGTCGTTAAGTCGAGGACTGCCTGTATTTTATTTCATCCTTAAATAATTTAGAGCTGCCTAACCCACATTTGATCATGGAAGTATCAAAAAAGAAAAAAAAAACAATCAAAACCATTTAAAAAAAAAACCCCAAAACCCATTAAAACACAATCGGTAGAGCAAGAATCCCAGGGCAGAATCTTCCGTAAATCTTCATGCCAAGATTGGCTCATTTAACGCACGAGTTACAACCTGCTCTGTCCTAGGCCTCTCCAAAAAGCACTAAAATTCTGAGTCCCGGCCAAAACCTCTTTTGTTGCATTAATAATGTGAATTTCATTCACAATCAGCCGAACAGCTTGGCAAACAGGCTTGCAAAGGTAAACTAATGAGCTCAGACCTTTATCTATCCTGGAAGGGTCTTATTTTCGAGGAAACACGGTAGAGATAGATAGATAGATAGAGATATAGATAGATAGATAGATAGATAGATAGATAGATAGATAGATAGATAGATAGATAGATAGATGATAGATAGAAAGAAAGAAAGAAAAGATAGATGATATAGAGATATAGAGATAGAGATAGAGGATAGAGATAGATAGATAGATAGATAGATAGATAGATAGATAGATAGATAGAGATATAGATATAGAGATAGAGATAGATAGATGGATAGATAGATAGATAGATAGATAGATAGATAGATGATAGATAGATATAGAGATATAGAGATAGAGATAGAGGATAGAAATAGATAGATAGATAGATAGATAGATAGATAGATAGATAGATAGATATAGAGGATAGAGATATAGAGATAGATAGATAGAGATAGATAGATAGATGATAGATATAGAGATATATAGATAGAGATAGAGATATAGAGATAGATAGATAGATAGATAGACAGACAGACAGATAGATGAGATAAATAGATAGATGGTAGAGGATAGAGATAGATAGAGGATAGAGATAGGTAGGTAGGTAGGTAGGTAGGGATAGATGGATAGATAGATATAGATGATAGACAGACAGACAGACATAGATGGTGTGAGAGAGATGATATTAGATAGTAAGTATGAGGTAGGTGGGTAGGTAAGTACACAGATATAGATGAGAAAGATATTAGATGAGATAGATATATACACAGATATAGATGATAAATGATAAATGATAGATAGATAGACGAACAGATGGATGGATGGACGGATGTCTATAGCATCTGTATATGTGTGTTATATATGTGTATGTGTAGATATATATTCTCCGTTTGAGAGCAGGCAAAAGAATTTCATTTATAATGTGTGCCAGTGTGCTCACAGTAAAAAAAAATGACAATAAAAGTTATCTTTATCTGATCTGATCTGATCTCATCACCAAGAGCGTACCACGTTTTTGAGACTGTCCGGCTTCAGGGAGGGCAGCTGAAGCTGCAGCTGACAGAGATTTCGGAAGCGTTCTAGGAAGTCGCTGCAGAGAGCATGGGGTTCTTCCACCAGCAGCACCGAAAACCGATCTAGTCCGAAAGGAAAGAAGCAGAAGTCAGGAAGTCCTCGATTTACAACCGCGATAGAGCCCCATAGTTATGTTGTTAAGCGAAACAGTGGTTAAGCGAGGGGTGTGGTTTTGTTTGCCCCATTTTATAACCTTTCTTGCCGCAGTTGTTAAGTGAATACAGTTGTTAAACTAGCCACACAGTTGGTAAGCGAATCCTTCCTTCGTTGACTAGAAACTTTGGGCTCCACTGTGGCCGTAAGTCGAAGACCAGCTATACTCCGACAGGCACGTGGTTAAGGGACTGTAAGAGCAGCAATCCAAGAGAAGGGCTGCAATTTCATCAGGGCCTCTTTTGAGCATCTCCCACAGAAAATGGCAGAGCATCAGACAGCCTACACACCTGGAAGACCTCATGTCCAGGTGCAACCCAACCTTGCTATTTCTTTCTCTTTTCTTACCTGGGCAAGGACTGTCCGGCCAGAAGCAGAATTTTTCGTGAGCTCCCAACAAGGCCTTCTGCAGCTCCAGGCACCTCTCCTTATCTAGGAAGCAAAGAGGCCCGATGAACAGCAGACCAACCCAAGGCAGAACACTTTTAAAGATCTGTGAAGTCCCAATGACAAGGTGGTGTAAAATGCCCCATCCAGGGTTACTAGGTGCCAAGATGGGCAACTCATTTTGCAAACCAACCAACCAACCAACCAACCACTCAGCCAACCAACCACTCAACTACTCAACCAACCAACCACTCAATTACTCAACCAACCAACCAGCCAGCCAACCAACCAACCACTCAACTACTTAACCAACCAACCAACTAACCAAACAACCAACCACCCAGCCAGCCAGCCAGCCAGCCAACCAACCAACCAACCCTCAATCACTCAACCAACCAACCACTCAACCAACCAGCCAGCCAACCACTCAACCACCCACCCAACCAACTAGTCAACCAACCAATCCACCAACTAACCAACCACTCCATCAACCAACCAACCACTCAACCAACCAACCAGCCAGCCAACCAACCACCCAACCAACTAGTCAACCAACCAATCCACCAACTAACCAACCACTCC